CCCCAGAAATAAGACACTGTCTTATATTCTTTTTCAAGAAGACACGCCATGGCTAATTTTCAGGGGATGTCTGGAGGAGGAGGAGGAGGAGGAAGAGGTGACCCAGGGCTTGGTCCCTCCTTGGATGAGACAGACAACACCTTCCTCCCTTCCTCCCTCAGTCTTCCCCCCACTTTCCTACACACTTTTCCCACCCCAGTCTTCCCCTTTTCTAGTTGCCCCCTTCCTATCCCATTCTGTCTTACTTTTCCAGAGACTCCTTTCCACCTCACTTTCCCACTTTTCCAAACACTCCTTCCCATTCCAACTTTTTCCTGTTTCCAGTTGTAAAGAAGTGTTTATTATAATATGCTTATGACTGTATTTGTGTTTATATTGGTTGCCCTAAGGCTGGAGCGTCCTAGCTGAGAGGAAAGTGTTACCATGGAAACGAGGTAGAAGAGGAGGTGGGAGGAGCTTAGAGAGTTAAGGTTTTGTAAAGTGACAGTTAGAGTCAGTCAGGCCGGAGACTCTGAGAGAGCAGCAGAGTCAGGCCGGAGACTCTGAGAGAGCAGCAGAGTCAGGCCGGAGACTCTGAGAGAGCAGCAGAGTCAGGCTGAGGACTCTGAGAGAGCATCAGAGTCAGGTTAGGGACTCTGAGAAGCAGCAGAGTCAAGATTAGGGACTCTGAGGAGAGCAGAGTCAGGGTTTTAGGCTCAGGGAAGAGCAGAGACAGGATTGAGACTCTGAGAAGGAAGAGTCAGGGTTTAGTGGTCGTGAATAGTAGACTAGAGATCTGTAGTTTGATCAAGGATAGATCAAACAAGGAAACTATTCACTGCAGGGAACACTGGTTAACAAAGTACTTCACCTCAGCAAAAGTTCACAAGTAGTAACATCGAAAGACTGTATTGTTTCGCAACCAAGTAACATGTAACCTTCAATTTGCCAAGCTTATCATCGTCATACTGCAACCATACGCTTTGTTTAAAAATAAACTTGTTCTCTTTAGTTTTTTGTAAAACTGCCTCATCTCCATTTATTCTTCGTTCGTGTACCCACTCTACCAAAGTTACCTCACAACATAAACAGAGCCTGTAATACTAGAGCCTTTTTATAAATCAGTGGCTCCTCTCTCCTAAATATAAGCGTTTCCTCACTAATTGGTAGCCGTCTCTTTACAATTTGGTGGCAGCTTCATTACCAGTATTGGAGGTCCTTTACACATTTGGTGGCTTCTTCGCATTTTTTGGTGGCAGACGACGGGATACGTTTAACAACTGACCAAGTGCCTTAAGATTATTTTAAGAATAAGTTGTGAGGTAAAAGTTATTGGAATATGGCTACCAGGCGACGGAGAAAGCTTGTTGGGGAAACAGAGGGAGACCAAGGAGAAAGTTCGGGCTCTGAGGCAGAGACAGAGCCAATGCCTTTCTCAGAAATGGCTTATAAATACAAATTAGAGATGAAACGATTGGAGATGGAGGCAAAACAAAGAGAGTTTGAAGAAAGACAGAAAGAGAGAGAGCAGGAGTTAGAATTGAAGAGAATGGAATTTGAGTTGCAGAAGCAAAGATTGGCTTTGTCTCAAACATCCAGTGACATCCAGGAAGGGAGATCTGGAGTGGATACCCCAGATTTGATAAAGAGATTCCCTAAATTTACCAAGGACGATGACGTAGAGAAATTTTTGATCTCCTTCGAGAGATGTTGTAAAGATTTTGGGGTTCCTAAGGAAAAATGGATGATATATCTAAGGCCACAGATAAGTGGAAGACTTTTACAGATTTATGGAGATTTGCCTGAGGGGTCTTATGGAGATTATGATTTATTTAAGAAACAAGTTCTACAAGAGTTTCGATTGACTCCTGAATTCTACAGATTTAAGTTTAGGACCCTAAAAAGAGATAAAAACCAAAGTTTTGCTCAGGTGGCCTCTAAATTGTCTCAACTGTTTGATAGTTGGCTAAGGACGTCTGAGGTGGAAGATTACCAACAGCTGAGGGAACTTTTAAAGTTGGAGCAATTTTTTCAATTAGTGCCTTATGATATTCGTTGGGTGATTCAGGATCGCAAACCATCCACTATAGTAGAGGCAGCGGTTATGGTGGATCAAATAATAACCCTAAAAGAAGGATTCAAAAGGGAAGATCTGCCAAATGACAAAAGAACAAACAGGCAGCCATTTTTCCAACAACAAACGCGCCCACAGCAAGAAAAAGTTTCTGACTTAGAAAACACCACCTGGAGGAGGCAGAGTGTAACAAGTCAAACTGCTCCTGAGGGAAAAAGAAGATGTTTTCAGTGTGGAAAGTGGGACCATATAAAGTATCAATGTCCCCTTTTGAGAAAAGAGAAAACAACCCTCTTTGTGAATAAAGTAAAAGAAACAGAAAGGGCAGAACCAGATACTTTGTCAAAGGAGAGTTCAGGAACAGGGCCTCAAGAGAAACAGTGTTTGTTCATCTTGTCAAACACCCCATCTAAGGATTACTTAGAATCCATTTCTATTGATAACAAAGACATAAAAGGACTTCGAGATACAGGGTCCGAAGTATGTATTGTACACCCAGAAATAATACCTCAGAAATTTCAGCGGCC